CGTCACATGGAGACATTTAAAGGGTGCGGTACGAGAAACTGGAATCCACACATTAAGAGCCGACAAAAGGTAAATAAAGCTTATGAGAAGACAGTATTGTTATGTTGTAGCGTGGGCGTCAAACAATGAACTGAAAGGTGTAAACCCCGTCGAAGCAAAGAAGTTCCAGCCTATATACGCGGTGGAGAAAGAATGTGTCGTTGGGTGATATGTTAAACATTACATTGGTGTACTGTACGGAATAGACCTCGTGTTTTTTTGCTTATATCTACTAATTATATATTAGGCATATGCATCTATTTGGTACTGACACTGGATTCACAGTACGTGTTGAACTCGTTTTAGTGGGTATTGCTATGTTGTTATGGAATTTTTGTGTTTTTCGTGCTTTGTTACGAATAGTTGATTGTCTCTTATTATTATTATTATTATTATTATTATTATTATTATTATTATTATTATTATTATTATTATTATTATTATTATTATTATTCATTTTTTTGTCTTGGTTGGTTGTTTTTTGCGGTTAGCGGTGCGATGATAAATGAAGAATTATTACGTATACACGTAGTAAGTTTCATGGTATTGTACGAATCGTTGGTTTCGTTTGTATGGTTGATATGATTATACGGTGCAGTGAAATGAGGTACTTAGTGCAATGAGACGATGCATAAGTGCAATGTCACAATATATAATGTGCATGAGCATCTGATTGATATACGTGTTGAAATAATTGTTTGGTGATATGTTGGTTGTCTATGCGTGATTTATGTATGTAATATACATTTAACTTTTTTTTTTCAACTTTGTCATATTTATTAAATAAGTCCCGTTTTCGTACGAATGAATAATGAGTACACGTGGTGCCATTATCGATTGTTATTGATATTTCAGTGTATATTTGTTGCTGAGCATGCAATATAAATTATTATGTAGTGATATTTTTTTTTTTTTTTTTTTTCCATCTGATGTTATTGCCATGTTTTTTTTTTCATGTGGTGTCAAATTAATAAGGTGCAATGATATTATATATAAAGTGCAACGTATTTGTATATAAAGTGCATCCTTGTACTATGTATTGTGCAGTCTATTGTTGAAGCGAGGCACGATTGTACAATTTAATTTTCGCGTGCTTGTCTCGTTGATTCATGTGTATTTGATTACTTTTTTATTTTTTTATTTCACAGTTATCCTTCATAAGGTGCAGTTATATTATATATAAAGTGCAACATATATGCATATAAAGTGCATCCGATCAAACGTGCGTGGACGAATTGCATTCTTTAAGTTTGTGCTTGTGCACTACACACATTTATCAATAACATGATCAATCTGACATAAAACTAAATCATATTATAATCCATGAGTATCAACATGAAAATGAATAATATTATAATCTTCGACGTCAAAATAATTAAAATAATTGATAACATCATATGAATCAAATCATTTTGTAATCCAACAAATTATTTTGTCTTTAGCTCTAACCGAGGTGTTGTGTCTCACATCGAACCTAAGATTGAGAGCACATCTCTTGTTAAGTCGACTGCTTCATGTAAGTCACGAAACTGTTATCCCTTGTAAGGTTTGAACGATTCTCTACATTGTCGTATCCAATATTTAGTTCCACGGGGCGTGAATACGAGTTGGTTATGTGCAACTGCTGTTTGAGACACTTGAAAATTTGTGATAAATTCAAAAGACAATAAAAAAAATATCAGTCGATTGCATATTGCACATTTATGAACATACAATTGCACATAACTAATTTGATGGTTGCACCATACCTGTATCTGATTCACTCATTCCCTTTAGCACTTGATAATTTCAAAAGACAAGAAAAAAAATCAGTCGATTGCACATTTATGAATATACAGTTGCACATAAATAATTTGACGGTTGCACCATACCAGTATTGATTCACTCATTCCCTTTAGCACTGTAGCACAACCAAACCAGGTATTAAAAAGAAAAAACCAACAGAAAGAAAAAAATGCACAAATCAAGGCAAATAATTATTCATCATATATTAGCATACAAGAGGTCTGAAAT